ATCGCTTCTAGTAACAAGTGCCTTACTAGTAGGAACAAGAAGCTACTAGGAACAAGTGCATCGCTACTAGTAACAAGTGCCTCACTAGTAGGAACAAGAAGCTACTAGGAACAAGTGCATCGCTACTAGTAACAAGTGCCTTACTAGTAGTAACAAGGTTCGCTACTAGTAGCTAGAAGCTTGTAGGAACAAAAGAATACTCCTTAGTGTGCTTGGCTAGCTTCGGCCTTGCTGGCCCTCACTGAAAGCATTAAGTCTTGGCCGGTTGAGGCTTTCCAGACACATGCCAGGAATGCTTTCGGTCTAGAAGTATAACCTAAAAGGGATGGCCTCCACCCTAATGTCTAGCGATGGCCTCCAGGAAAGTCTTCTGTCTAAAAGTATTGACTAGGAAGATGTAAGCCCTGCAAGAACATGTTCTGCTGTGAGCGTTTATCGTTTCTAATCACACTCATATAATTCAATTTAAATTCTATAGCTTCTTATTGTTTCCTAGTAGCGAACCTTTAGTAGTAAGGCCCTTGTTCCTAGTAGGGATGCCCTTTACTCCTAGTAGCGAACCTTGTTACTGCACTTCGCTGAGGGCGAGTGAGATTTGCGATGTGCTTCAAGCCTTGCAGTACACCTCCTTGGAGCCCACAGGTGATTTGTTGGATCCTGAGGGGGGGAGTGTTTTCTGCGATGTCGCAAGAAAGCACGTGTTCGCTTTGGAAGCAAACTGTCAAATAGTTCCGTCCATTCCTTAAGGCGAACCCAACAATTTGGCCTTGTGAAGAGTGCGACAAGAATTTGTCCGAAGCCTGAGGTCGAGAGCTCAAAAGGTCCGACGAAATGGCTATGGCGAGATTGCAGGCACCTTGTGGGTGTCACTTGTTAGTCCGACGAGACACCAACTAGCTTCTTGTTACTACTAGTAAGGCACTTGTTACTAGAAGCGATGCACTTGTTCCTAGTAGCGATGCACTTGTTACTACTAGTAAGGCATTTGCTTCAATGTGTGCACCATTTTAGCCCGGCTTCGATCGGTTTTGTTCGATTCCAGACCTGGAAGAGTTGCACCACGCGCTGCGGCTGGAACTCGACAAGGCGCCTTCGTGGCGGCAGAGTGCAGTACAAGTAGTAGCGATGCCAGGAGCCCCTAGTAGCTTCTTGTTACTAGTAGCGAGGCCCTTGTTACTAGTAGCTATTTGCTACTAGTAGTAAGGCCAGGAGGCCCTTATAGCGTCCTCGCCCCTAATAGCGATGCCAGGAGCCCTTAGTACGTCCTTTTAGGTCTTCATTAAGTCGTCGTTGACAGGCCCTCACCAGCCAAGTGTCGCCTTCATTTGCGCGACTTGGAAGAAAAGGTAAATCGGCAGAGAAATGTCAAAAAAGAAGCTCGCATCAATCAATTTCAACTTGCGGTTGCAGCGTTTGCAAATGTCTAAGGAACGCCTGGGGAGCTTCAGATCATGACCAAAGCCACTTTGAATTTATGTTCAGAGTGCAAATGATGTGCAAAAAGTGCATAGTTCTCCCCGAACCATCATCAGGACATGCATGGGGTCAAATATGGATGACTGACTTGCACTGTTGTGCCTCATGCTGCCACGATTTCCCTTTCTCAAACCAAAGCTTTCAAAAAAATGGAAGAACTTTGCTATGAGCCAAAAGGCTTTGAACGCAATTGTGCCTCGTGTGTGCACGGTGCTTTTGGGAGAAATGCAATTCCATGATTCAACCGTGGAGAAAGTTTATATTTTTTGGAACATGTCTATCTTGTTTGTTGAAATGAGCAGAAGTTATGACTTTTGACACTCCCGAAAGCCCTGGCACCTTCGCGTTGGGTCTTGAACATCTGAGGCGACTTGGAGCCCAGCAATGTGATCAGCCTGGATCTCGGAGGATTTCGAGGAAACCGTGGCTTTGGTGAAGCTACTAGCAGCAAAGGGCATCGCTACTAGGAGCAAGTGCCTTACTAGTAGTAACAATAAGCATTTAATTAGAATTGTAATTACTAGCTTCTTGTTACTACCAGTAAGGCACTTGTTACTACTAGCGGTGCACTTGTAGGAGCAAGGACGCTACTAGAAGCAAAGGGCATCGCTACTAGGAGCAAAGGGCATCGCTACTAGGAGCAAAGGGCATCGCTACTAGGAGCAAAGGGCATCGCTAGTAGGAGCAAAGGGCATCGCTACTAGGAGCAAAGGGTATCGCTACTAGGAGCAAGAAGCTACTAGGGGCTCCTGGCCTTACTACTAGGAACAAGGACGCTACTAGGAACAAAGTGCACCCGCTTCACCGGACTTTGATTCAGGCGACGAGTACATCAATCACATCTTCACCTTGGGCCGTCTATTTGAATTGGTGCCCTAGCTTTACGTGATGGGTTCAACAAGAAGCTATACTAGGTTGGAGGCCATCGCTAGTAGGTTGGAGGCCATGCCAGGATGTGTCAAGTGCGGTTCCTTTTTCTGCTCTTTTGCCTAACCAGATATTCAATGGTCTTTGAGAGGCACTCATGACCAACTGGATGTGACATGAAGACGTTGGCCCCTTCTTGGCCCCTCTTCTTCACAACTCCTTGTTTTCATACGCTCTGAATATCCCCTTACTACTAGGAACAAGAAGCTACAAGGGGCTCCTGGCCTTACTACTAGGAGAAAGGACGCTACTAGGGACTCCTGGCCATACTACTAGTAACAAGAAGCTATGTGATAACATCCCGGTGATGTACTTCTTTTCACATTTTTTCACTAAGTCTGCCGGCGCTGGACGGAACAAAGCACCTTGGATGCGCTGGTGAGGTCAGGGAGCGCGCAGGGAGCAAGTAACGGACCGGACCGGATGCATGTTCAAACTAGCGATGGCCTCCACCCTGCTAGCTCAGGCATAGAAACAAGTGCATCGCTTCTAGTAACAAGTGCCTTACTAGTAGTAACAAGGTTCGCTACTAGGAACAAGTGCCACGCTACTAGTAACAGGTGCCTTACAAGTGCCACGCGATGGTTCCAATGATGTTGATCACCGAAAGCGGCTCACCAAGTAGGATTATCGTTTCTCTATTACTCATCGGCAGAGAATACCCAGGGCACTTGAGCGACGAAACAAGAGTTGCAAGCAGCACAAGTATCTGGACAAGACATTGCTCCTCAGAACGCCTTTGCAAGCCAGCTACCTGAAGAAAGCATAGATTAGATCACATTTGCCTTGTGACTAGTAGCGTCCTCTTGTTCCTAGTAGTAAGGCCCGGAGCTACTAGTAGCCTCCTTTGCTCCTAGGAGCGATGCCCTGTCTCCATAGAAATCGCTTCGCTTCACGCTTGGCGCCTGGCCTTCGAGGTTTGGGGTCGTCAAGGTGGCAAGGTGATGGTCTTGGCGCCCAACATCCCTGCGGCCTTGTGCGTGATCCGAGGCGGGAGGGAAAGGAAATGGTAGCATGCACTAACGCGATGCACTTGTTCCTAGTAGCTTCTGTTTGTAGCTAATTACAATT